CTTGAGTCCACAGGCTGATGCTCTATCCACTGAGCTAAACCGGTTTTGGCTAAAGACAACCACTTTTAACCATTTCTTTTTTAAATTGATGAGAAAAAGAGAGATTGATTTGTTGTTCCATTTATTTATGCATACATTGGTTGATTCTCATATGTGTCCTGACCAGGAATTGAACCCCCAACCTTCGTGTGTCAGGACAATGTTCTAACCAACTGAGCTACCCGGCTAGGGCTAACCATTTCTATTTTAGTTCCTACTGTGGTTTTCTTCTATCTGTAAAACTCAGGCTTACACCTCTTTTTTGATTTATCATGTTTAAGCAGCATTAATGAACTCATTACTATGAAAAAAAAAAGGCATTAGCCACTTATGCTGTAAATTTTCTGTCTCCTTTCATCACAGATTTATTTTTTTAAGATATTGACTTGTTACAGAGGAAGGGAGAGGGATAGAGTGTTAGAAACATCAATGAGAGAAACATCGATCAGCTACCTCCTGCACACCTCCTAATGGGGATGTGCCTGCAACTAAGGTACATGCCCTTGACCGGAATCAAACCTGGGACCTTTCAGTCCGCAGGCCGACGCTCTATCCACTGAGCCAAACCGGTTTCGGAAAGAATCTTGTAACTTTTATTTCATTGATTTTATTCATCGCAGCCCACTCTATTCTGGCAGAACTTAGCCATGGTTTAGGTTGTCGTCAGCACTGTCACTGGAAATACTTCTGAGAGAATTTTTGCTGGAGCCACCTACCTTGAAATTTCCAGGGACAACCATTTCAGTTCTCATTTTTGTATACCTCCCAGGTACCCAGGAGTCTCCAGTTGTCCCACCATTTTCAGAGCATACTACTACCGTAGTGTATTTTATGAAATCCATGACAAAACACAGCATTGCTGGATATATGGGGACAAAGACAAAAGACAGCTTATCTCATGCTATGTGTGGGAAGTTTTGTTCTTCTTTGTGTAAATTATTTTTTTGTTGTTGTTGCTAATCCTCATCCAAGGATATTTTTTCCATCAATTTTAAGAGAGAATCGAAGGGAGGAGAAAGACACATGGATTGGTTGCCTCCTGCATGTGCCCTGACTGGGCTGGGGATCAACCAGAGACCCTTTGGTGCATGGGCCGACGCTCTAACCACTTAGCATCACCAGCTGGGCTACAATCTTATTTTTTGAAATCTCTTCTCCTACATTGTCCCGAGTAAATTTTAAGAAATTTAAAAATAAATTCATTGTGCTTTAAATTTCACACTCAAGGAAACCAAACTCCCATTTGACTTCTCTGTACAGATGGTGGACTTCCCAAACCGGAGCTGATATCCCGGATTGAACAGGGGAGAGAGCTCTTCAGGAATTTAGGAGAACCACAGAAGTCAGGAAGCACAGTTTTCAACCCTGCTGATTTGCATTTCGATCCAGTTATTGAGGGACAGCCACTTTGGAGTAAGTATAAAGAAATCAGGGCCCTGTCCTTATGATGGTCACATTCAGGTTTCTTTCTTCTAATTATCTCATCTTTTCCTGTTTGGCTGGGCTGAGGCCTGCATCTGGGTTCTGGAGCCTGAGTCTAGATCTTGCCTTTTCTGAGTGACCTTGAGCAGGTTATTCAGCCTCTCAGTATTTCATTTCCTAACTATAACATGAATGTAATAAAAGTACATACATTATAGGGCTAAAGTGTTAAAATGATAGTTGGCACATAGTAAGAGCTCAGTAAGTGTGATCGATTCTGAGTAGGGGTGGAGGAAAATTGCTTTCTCCCGTCTAGAGACTGTAGTCTCTGGCTAAACCTTAGCTCTCCTCTTATTTCCTCTCCTGATGGAGAGTCTGGGACTTGTGGACTCCTCAGAGTCAGTGTTAGGTATGGAATGAAGTCAAATGTGGGCATCATTCCAAGAAATCTTGTCAGTAATTTGTTTAGCTTTTAGCTGCTGCTTTCTGGAGAATAAAAGTTTTTCTGCACAAATTATTTTTGCCACTTGCTTTTCTTTCAAGAAACATTTTTAAAAAGTTAGAAGGGAAAAGAGAAGAAGAAAGAAAAGACAAGAAGGTGCGGGGGGCGGGGGGGAGGGTTAGAAGGAATAGAAGGAAGTTAGAAAAGGGAGGAACAGACACAAGGCCTTGCGGGCCTGGCTTAGGGCAGCTTGTGGATCACACAGAGCCACACGTCAGTCAGGGCTGTCCGTGCGGTTTCCTTCCTGACTCCAGGAATGTGCACGTCAGTATGGGGCAAGTCAGATGTTCTGCAGGCTTGGCCATGGTGAATGTTGACAGGACGTGCAGTCCGCCAGGCTCACGCTGGGCACCCGGCACACATTAGCTCCTCTCATTCTCATAGCAGGCTCACTGTTCCCTGTTTCTACAGGAGAAGGATCTGAAGCCAAAGTAGCTTGACAAAAGTTTCAATGGACACATAGGAGTCAAACCCAGACATTCTGGACTCAGAGCTTAGGCCCTACATTGTGACCTGTGTTTTCCTCTTTTCAGTAAATTCTGAGTAAGTCTGTTCCGTTTACTCTGAGCAGACTCACCAAACTCCTGGTCATGAAACAGAACCAAACTGAAATGTGGCCCGTGTACAGTTCCATGGAAACTGGATTCCAGGCCACCAGAACTTTTGTTGTGGTTCACTTTCCTAGTGACCTAGCCTTTGATCATGAATTCTGACTGAATTTTTGTTTTCAATTTCAGGAAGCCAGCAAGCTGTGAATTCAAGAGAATCTGAATACCATTTTCAGGCCGATCCTCTTGAGGGCCAGGATTCCTCTGAATACTTACTAAGAATAAGTGGAGATGTTTCCTTCAGGCCCGACCGAGGCATCCCCTTCGTGAAGCCAGACACACACGATCCACAGGCTCTCCTCCCAGCAGCCCACCATTCCTGGGAACCCACCCACAGAGAAAGAACCCCAAACCCCAGAACTCTGGGTCCCCCAGGCCTCCAGGAGGTGCCCTCCCGGGAGGGCACCCCACATCCTTGCCCTCTCTGTGGGGAAAGCTTTGGGAAGAAGAATCATGAGAAGCACCAGGGGAACCACTCGAAGGACCAGGCGTGTGGGGCCTGGAAGAAATTCAGTAAACAAGCTGACCGGCAGCAGCAGTGGAGCATCCCCCGGGGACAGAGGTGCTTCCGGTGTCATGAATGTGGGAGGAGCTTCTGCCTAAAGCGGAATTTACTTAAACATCTGGCCACACACACAGGGAAGAGCCCACTGCAGTGCCCTGAAGGTAATGCATGCTTCCATCATCACAAGTGGACCCTTTTGAGCCACCACCTTCTGCACCAGGGGGAGGACCCTTCCCAGTGCCCCAGATGTGACACGAGCTTTCTCCCGAAGACCGGCATACAGGCTCACCAGGGCCAGCACAGCGGGCTGAGGCCAGTGGTTTGGAGAGAAGGTGGCAGGGCCTCCTGTGAGAAGGCCGGGCTCAGCGGTGTGCACTCGGGGCCAAGGCCAGGCCCAGGCCCAGGCCCAGGCCCAGGCCCAGGCCCACCTCCTGAGGAGCCCTGCCGCTTGATGGGGGGTACGGAGCTGGTCCTCCAGCGCTGCCCTGCCAGAGAGAGGCCGTTCTATTGCACGGCATGTGACAAGTGCTTCTCCACCAAGGCCAAGCTCACCAGCCACGGCAGGGTGCACCAGGGGGAAAAGCCCTTCCCGTGCCTGGAGTGTGGCAAGAGCTTCCGCCTGAGCGGCCTGCTGAAGGCCCACCAGCGTGTGCACAGAGGAGAGAGACCCTTCTCCTGCAGGAAGTGTGGCAAGGGGTTCAGCAAACGGTGCAAACTCGCCGAGCACGCCCGTGTGCACAGCGGGGAGAAGCCTTTCTGGTGTGCCGAATGCGGCCGGCACTTCCGCCAGAGGGGACAGCTGCTGAGGCACCAGCGGCTGCACACGGACGAGAAGCCCTTCCAGTGCCCCGAGTGTGAGCTGAGCTTCCGTCTGAAGAGCATGTTGAGAGCCCACCGGCTCCGACACGGCGGGGAGAGGCCGTTCTCCTGCACCGAGTGCGGCCGCGGCTTCACCCACCAGTGCAAGCTCCGGGAGCACCTGCGCGTGCACAGCGGGGAGAGGCCCTTCCCGTGCCCCGAGTGCGGCAAGAGCTTCCGCCTGAAGGGCATCCTGAAGGCCCACCAGCGCACCCACAGCACCGAGAGGCCGTTCTCCTGCGCCGAGTGCGGCAAGGGCTTCACCAGGCAGTCCAAGCTCACCGAGCACCTGCGCGTGCACAGCGGGGAGCGGCCCTTCCCGTGCCCCGACTGCGGCCGCAGCTTCCGCCTCAAGGGGCAGCTGCTGAGCCACCGGCGCCTGCACACCGGGGAGAGGCCCTTCCAGTGCCCGCAGTGTGACAAGAGCTACCGTGTGAAGGCCGACATGAAGGCCCACCAGCTGCTGCACAGCGGGCGGATGCCGTTCTCCTGCGAGTGCGGCAAAGGCTTTGCCAAGCAGTCAAAACTCGTGGAGCACATCAGGACGCACACGGGGGAGAAGCCTTTTCGGTGTCCGAAATGCGCCAAGAGTTTCCGCTTGAAGGCACAGCTGCTCAGCCACCAAGGCCTGCACACCGGGGAGAGACCTTTCCGCTGCCCCGAGTGTGACAAAACCTTCCGGGAAAAGGGACACATGCTGAGGCACCAGCGCATCCACAGGCCAGAAAGGCCGTTTGCCTGTGGCGACTGTGGGAAGGGCTTCATTTATAAGTCCAAACTTGCCGAGCACATCCGAGTGCACACAAAATCCTGTCGTGCTCCGAGTGGGCCTGACATTCAGAAACGGCTCAGCCAGCTGTTTGCAATGATCGAGGCCGACTGGAGCTGAGACAGTGGCAGCTAGCCAGATAAGCAGTCATCCATCGGGTTCATGGTGTCCGGGGGTCCACAGCAACCATAGCTGAACCCACCGCTGGTGGACCTCCAGCAGGCCGCTCAGGGGAAGCTCTTGTCACGCTCCAGGCACAGGTTTGAGGAACAAGGGCCCTTTTTGGAGCAAGAATGTAAGAATGTAATACAAGTTAGGAATATAAGAAACCACTAAGAATTTTCTTTCTTTTTTTTCTTTTTTTTTTATAACACTCATAGGTATTGTACCCATTGAGTTTCTTCATCTTTTTAAAAAATATATATTTTATTGATTTTTTTACAGAGAGGAAGGGAGAGGGATAGAGTGCTAGAAACATCAATGAGAGGAAAACACTGACCAGCTGCCTCCTGCACACCCCCCCCTGGGGATGTGCCTGCAACCAATGTACATGCCCTTGACCGGAATCGAACCCGGGACCCTTGAGTCCACAGACCAATGCTCTATCCACTGAGCCAAACCGGTTTTGGCAAGAATTTTCTTTCTTTTTTTCTTTTTTTTTAGTTTTGAAGATGTGCTTTAATTTTTCAAATCGGAAAAACAACAACAATTAGCTATAAAGAGAAGCACAGTTTTTAAGTAACCTCTGAAAGATTATTCTAAACTATTCTTTTAAATTTACCAAAATTTCCATAAGGCTAAAGTGCCACTCAATATTAAGATACAGCAAAGTATCACAGACCTGTATTAAGTAATAGGTCTTAATAAATGTAGTTTGGCTCTATTTTCTTCAAACAGTTCACTAGCCTCCTCAGAAGATTTTATCAGGAGCATGCTCCCGCTGAGACACATCAGTCAGTACATCACTTAGGTTTCTGCTTCTTGTAGCCACTTTAGGAAATTCTCCAGGTCCATGCGAGAGGCCTGCACTGCCCCTCAGTTGAGCCTCCAAGGAATTCTGTCTGTTCTGTCAGCAATGCTTTGTTTGAGATTGATCCAGGATGTTTTCAGATATTCCGTGGCTTTCTTCACGTTCCTCGTGTCATCGCTACCGTATTCCCCCAGCAGCTTCTGAAGGATGTTATCGAACGCCATCACGATCCCGTCTCCAGGACCCAGTTCTTGAAGCAGTATTTGATTATCAGAAATGTGTTTGATAAGTGGATCCCTTCGGGCTTGTTGAAGAATATAGAGTTGAGCCTCATATTTTCTCGTAAGTTCTTCAGGCTCTTCCTTGTGATAATCCCACTCAAGAATTTTCTTTCTTAAGTCACCAATTATATTTTCTATGCATTGATGAAAAGAGACATTTGTTTTTCCTACCATCTTATGTGGCAATTTTCCCCAAAATGCTTAGCTAGCTTTGAAATTCCAGCTTGAATTTAGACAGGAAACCCATCTAGTACTGGCTGTTACATGTCAATTCCCCTTTTCTTTTTTCATAGTATGATCCTAAACTGGGTGTTTCAATCCAATGAGTTTTGTTGCAGACATTAGACTTGGTTAGATTGACTTGTTTGGAAACTGATAGTAATAAAACAAGTTTTCTGAATAGTTTGAGAGAGTGCTTAAGTTTCACAGCAGTTCCACAGTGATTGTGCATAGTTCCCCTAAGGAAAAGCTGCTAATTTCAGCAAGATTTGGCTAATCTGAGTTGAAGAAATATAAAACTGCAGGTGCTAAAATGTATGGGACTAGAATTTAGCTAAGAGATTGGGAAAGATGTCGATTCGGGAGTTCCAGAACAAAGATGCCATTTGAAGCTGAGAGAGTAAATGGGATTCCCATTCACCCCATTTAGCAGATGACTAAGTTCCAAGCTGAGAAAAAATAACAGGCAGCAACAGCTTAGTGTGGAGAGTTTTCAAGCAAGTAACAGTAAACACAATACAAGTAGAGGTCCAGAAAAATACCACCTTTGGTACATTAAGTGAGGGTTCTATGTGCATGAAGAATGTTTACACTTCAGGGAAAGAGTTTTATTTCATACAAAGAATTCCTGGCTTTTAGAGGGTTCACATTTCATGTAACAGAATGGCTGACTTGTAATTCTGAAGGCTGATAGAAAATGAGATTGTCCGTAAACTGTAATAGATATTACTATGAAACAATGTCACAGATTATTTTCTGTGGAACACTAGCTCCAAAGAGACTCTTATTTAAGGAAAAAAAAGTGACATGGCCAATTAGTTTGAATAAAGTTGAACAATTCCCTCACCCTTCTTCCCACACACACAAGGGGAAGACATATTGTGATCATATTCTGAATATACTTGGCCTTGGGATCCGTTTTTTTTGTTTGTTTGTTTTTTTAAACACTGTGATCAATGAATCTCCCACAGGACTCATTTTTAAAAACATTACCAAAGAATAGTCCTAGTTCCAACAAAATAACCCTTAGTCTGTTCAGAAGAGGGAGAATCCCAGGAAATAAGGTCTGGGGTTTTAGAGAACAAAGAAAAAAGACTTTTAAGTCAGATTAAACTTGAATAGTTTTAGAGCACCCGATGTCTCCTTAAGTGATGGGACACTAACAAGGGTGATTGATAATATTAAGAGGTGGTGTCATTTAGGCAGGTTTCTGATCACTCAGAGATGCACTGATGTCTGTTGTGTTCACAGCATTGCAAACCTCATAAAGCGTAGAGATAGGCTCAGCATAGCTAAGAAGGGGAAAGGCCTGCTCCGGAGGAGCACTGCAGTGTGGGGACCTGGAGGAAGAGACTGTGACTGTGAACCAGGTAGTGGTTTTGAAGGAAACTGCATGCCAGGGACTCGAGGCTGGTGTTCTCGCAGACTGTCCTAAGTGAAGGAACTCAGAGGTGTTAAGAGATCCACAGTGTTTGAATTTTGTTAGAAATGGCATGTTTTGGGGGAAGTTGAGAAAAATGCTAAGTCCCAACTAAACCCAAGTGCCCCAGGTTGCCCACACTGGCAATGAAAAAGAAGCCAGAGCAATGTTTAAAGAATAGAGGGACTTCTGGGAAACGGGGCATAAGCACAGGTTCGTAAAACTCCCCTTCCTGTTCTGCCCCAATTCCTCAAAGGAAAATCAGTGCTGAGATATGCTGGTGCAATCCCAGTCCTTCAAGAATAAGTAAGGATGCCTACAAGAACCCCATCACCGCCAGCCCAAAGAAGCCTATCTCCTACAAGCATGTCAAACTCAAAAGGCTAGCACAGGCCAAATAAATGGGGCATGCGGGCCTGTGGGCCATGGGTTTGACATGCTTGTCCTTCAAAGTAATAAATCTGAAGAGCCCAATAGTGAAGATCACATTAAAGGGACATAATGGGGGAGGGGGGGAAAGATCCCAATAAAATTATGGAGCCCGACCAGCATGGCTCAGTGGTTGAGTGTCAACCTATGAATTAGGTCATAGTTCAATTTTCAATCAGGGCACATGCCCAAGTTGTGGGCTTGATCGTGTGGGATGTGCAGGAGGCAGCTGATCAGTGATTCTCTCCCATCATTGATGTTTCTATTTCTCCTTCCTTTCCTCTCTGAAATCAATAAAAAGATATTTAAAAATTATGAAATGCACTATATTATTATCTTGATATTATAGAACACCCAACAGAATCAGAAATAAGAAAAAAGACCCTGTTCACAAAGGCTGGTCATTGTCTCCATTCAAAATAGGAACTGCCCTGGCTGGTGTATTATAGCTTAGTTGGTTTAATAGAATTGTAAGGTCACAATTCTATTCAGGGCACATACTTAGGATGTAGGTTTGATCCCCAGGTGGGGCACAGAGAAGAGGCAATTGTTTCTCACGTTGATGTTTTCTATCTCAAAAACAAACAAAACAAAACAAAAAAACCATATCCTTGGGTGAGGATTTAAAAAAAGAAGAATCCCTAACTGGTTTGGCTCAGTGGGACAGAGCGTTGGCCTGGAGTTTGATTCCGGTCCCAGGTTTGATTCCACTCAAGGGCATGCACCTTGGTTGCAGACACATCCCCAGTAGGAGGTGTGCAGGAGGCAGCTGATCGATGTTTCTCTCCCATTGATGTTTCTGACTATTCCTTACTCTCTGTAAAAAAATAATAATAATAATAATAATAATAATAATAAAATATATTTTAAAAATTAAAAAAGAAGAAAATAGATCAGACCTAGTCAGGTGGCTCAATTGGTTGGAGCTCAGTTAGTTGGTGAGGCTTCCTATATACCAAAAAGGTTTTGGGTTCTATCCCGTGAGGGCACATGCAAGAATCAACCAAAGAATGCATAAATAAGTGGAACAACAAATCGATGTTTCTTTCTCTAAAGAATAAATGAGTTTTTAAAAATGCTTAAAGAAACAAAAAGATACACAGTGCTACCAATCACAGGAAGCTGTTGGCTGTAGAAACACAAAAGAACTGAACGTTCCCAGGATGCCCTGCGTGTCCCCCAGTTGGCCAGACGGGGCTGACAGGTGCAGGCTCCGCCCGGAGCACCGCAGGACACCAGGGCCTCCCACCCCAGAGCCCAGAGCCCGGAGCCGGGCAGGTATTGGAAAGCTCCGGCTGCAGGACTCTGCAGAACCATCAGGTGGGAGTGGTGACATGTGGGCCCGGCAGAGAGGGTGGCCCGCGCAGGAGCCCTGGCCCAGCCTTCAAACTGGAGCTCCCGCGCTGGGGCCCGGAGGGCAGTGCAGGGAAATCCATGCTCCCACCCAGACAGTTCCCATAAGCTTCTGGGAACTGTCTGGGGTGGGAGCATGGACTTTTTACCTTTATCCATCCAGCGTGTGGCCCCCAGAGGGCGCTCTGTGAACACTCGTTGAATCAATCCATGGATTAATGAGAGTCCTACACTTCATGGCCGATTTTACAGTCAACCCAGGGCTTTCAGAGTGTTCATGTTTTCCTGGAACTCAGCTTGTTGGCGAGGTATAGAATGGAAGAAAGAACAGAAGGCATTATGGCTGAGAAAAAAAAAAGGAGTCCCAGAGAGGGACATATGTAGTACCATACTAAATTGCAGTGATCAGGACTGTCACTTTAATAACAGTTCTTCAGAGTATGGTAACAATGGGTGCAACTCTTATTTTAGTTTTAAGTCTCTTAAAGAACCCCTGGGGCGACAGGAACTCAGTTTCCTTTAGCCTGAATTGAAACAATGTTTCCCAAGAAATATGACAATTTCTTATTGTCTTTTTCACAAACACAAAAATAGATAGATAGATAGATAGATAGATAGATAGATAAATAGTATTCAGGGTAGAATCCTTAGAGATCATAAGCTAACGTCTTCATTTCATGCAATTTCCTTTATCAGAGGAAAATGAGTTACAAACAGGTTGAAATGACTGCTCCAGATCACTTCAGCTAGTAATAGAAAATACAGCTTAGGTTTCTGGAGTTCCTATTCTGTGCTCTTCCTCCTTGCCTTCAGCAAATATCTGTTGGAACTTCTTTCCTTTAATAAATATTAAATATTATTCACAGTATTGCTTCCTGGGGTTGTGGCTGCCTAGCCAAGCTTCTTTCTCACATTTTTCAGCTTACCAGGAAGCTATGGGCCATTTTCCTTACTCCTCTTTGTCACCTGCTAGGGAAGTGATATTTTGATTTTGGGTGCAAAAAGTTTTGAAGAAGTTAATTGATGATCCATCATTTCTTTCTGATATGTCTAATGTGTTCTTGTGGGCAAATAGTCACTTTTCAATTTAAATTTCATTTTAATGGAGTGAAAACAGTACCAATTGTAGAAGATTCTGAGGATGTAACTTTCTGTATTTCTTTCTTAGAAACACAGTGTTTTTAAGGTATCACACAGAAAGCATTGAAGACAGTTTTATGCCAACTTTATCACATAGTACTATAACATGTTTACATTACTATGTCCTACAAGACTCACCCACTGCTTATAAGACGGTCTTATGGTTTGTGTTCATTTAATGAATCAAAGTATTAGTTTTGGGTCCTGTTTCTTTAGTTAGAAACTAGAGGCCTGATGCACGAAATTTGTGAAAGAGTAGGCCTGCCTTCCCCCCAGCTGCCAGCACTGGCTTCTATCTGGCACCCAGGACCTGGGCTTCCTCGCAGCCCCAGCTTCATCAGGAAGGTCGTCAAGAAGGACATCCAGTCTAATTAGCATATTACGCTTTTATTATTGTAGATGAGTGTTTTCTGAGGTTGTGGTGATTTCCTTCTTTATGTTTTCTCCCCACTATGCCTGTAAAAAAACCTATTTATTCAGTGATCCGCTTCTTCCTGGGTATGAATCTGATTTGTTTGCAGCCAATGTTAACTTTTGCAAAGAGGACCAACAGAATGATTACAACTTCTTCCTGGTATTATGTCACCAAAACCTTGCCTGTTTTATATATCGAAAAGTCTGACTTCTCAAGATCCTTTTGGGAACTCCTTATGTGATATAAACAAAGGTAGAAGACTTATAACCATTACTGGTAAGGGCAGGTATGAAGCCATCCTGAGACAAAAGAAAATGTGTTCATGGGTCCAGGTGGAGTGCCCTTTGATGATGTGCCTGGCCATCTGTTTCTGAGCACAAGAGTACAAGAATCTGATGAGCATCAGAGAGTACCCTACAATAC